TCGCAGTGGGACGAGGCCGCCGTGGGGCGGGCCCCCATAGGACGCACGGCTCTCGTCGAATGGATTCCGTTATTTCGCGACGCGAGGCTCTCTGCGTCGTGTCGTCGCTTCCAGTCGTCGTCGTCGAGGTGGTTGTGTATGACGACGACGCGGCCAGCGACTCGACTGTCGATCCTTCGATACGTCGCGTTGGTGTTGGTGGTTGTGTATGACGACAACGCGGCCCTCATCAGCGACTCGACTGTCGATACATCGATACATCGCGGCGGCGGAAGGAGCGTTAATCGCCCCTCGCTAAGTAGCAGCCGCAGCAGCAGCAGCAGTGCGTTGCGCTCCCGCGCCGGTGAAAGGAAACGACGCACGCAAACGATCGGGTTGCGTCCGCACCGCGTGCGCTGTGCGGGGAAGGCGTGGACAGCCCCATCCATCCCAGCAGCCTCCTCCCCGGTCCAGCACACGGCGGGATAGACAAACCTGCTGCTGACCGTACATCCCTATCCGCATCCGTCAGCGAGAGTGCAGCGGCGGCGGCGGCTCACCGGCGGCCTGCCCGACGGAAGCGGTTACCGTATGAGAGGGTTCGGCAACGAGGGCGGCCGCGCCGGGCCGGCTGAGCCACCCTCCTGTGCTTCCTCCTCTACCTCCTAATGACTTTGGCAGAGGACCAGGTCACTGCCTTTCCTCCCAACACCCCCCGCCCCTGCCGTGTATAAAGTGAGAGGGGGAAAAAGAGTGAGAGGGACCCCGGCACGACGGATGTGCGTCTTTATTTCCTCTCCCGCAGAACCAGATCCCCACGCGGGTCGGGTCGTTAGCCGCGCCACGTGTCTGCACCGCGGCGAACACACAGCGCAACATGCCCACCCTGCGGAGGAAAATGATCGTCATAATGACGCCGTGTGGACGTGACGGCCTCGGCCTGAACGACGGCATGCCATTCGGGATGGGAAAAGAAAGAAAAATAATAAAAAAGGGCGCGGAGGTGACATTCCCCGCATTGTCACTTCAAAGTATGCTCGATATGACGCAAGACGTGCAGGAATAAAACACATATTTGGAAAGCTATACGATTCATTACGATAACTTTCCACTAACCAAGTACAAAACGCTCGTCGTGGTCTACACACAATGAACAAAGTTATCACGTTTTTTGCCTTGTATACGCACAAGGCACAATTACCAGTGCTCGTGCGACAATTTGTCGCGTCCACGATATGTACAGAGTAAGTTGTTTCCCACTCATGCGTGCGGTATGCGGACGTTCGGGTCAACACGGTCTGTCGCCTGGCAATAGCTAACCTGCCAGCCTAGGGGGTGCGAGTTTATTAGCGGAGCCTGCCCGCCTGCACTGCTGCAGCATGCGGGCTGCACCCCTCCCGTCTCTTCCACCCCTCCTCCTTCCTTGGCCCCCCGCACCACCAACAACGTTCACCGACCTGCATTGCGTCGCGTAGAAATGGGACAGAAGTGAGAACTGCATTAAAATGCCATCCTTACGCCAGATCGAGCCGGCACCGCTCAAGCTGCCTATGTCACCGCGCCAGCAGCAGGCAGCAAGAGAGGTATAAATAATTCATAACAGATTTTTTTCTGAAAATTGTGATTTTGTTTCAACTAAGTACTCCGTATTAGTCAGTGCTGTTGCCAAGTGCAACTAGTGCGTCAACATATGATAGGTATATATTTTATCTCGAGGCATCACAATTTTTAGTTTCTAGAATTATTTTTCGTGGTCGTCCCGGCGCCTCCCCAAAACGAAATCGTTTCTTTTGTTTGTTCTTTTCTTTCTAGAAGTGCAGTGGCGGTGCACCTGTCGCGCGGGGGCCGTTTGACAAAGCGGCTGCCTATTCTCTGCCGCGGCCTGCTGCGGCTAGACCGGCCCGGGTCGGCTCTGGCGCGGCGCGGCGCGGCGCGGCGGTGCCCCGCTGATCAGCATAAGGCTGGGGCTGGGCGCGCCCGACCGCGCCGCACGCCTTGCCAAATCCCCGAGCCGAGCACCCAAGAGTCCGCAAAATTTCTCATGCGGCATTACGATTCGCAATGATGAGGATTCCGCGACATCGGGCGCCGCGTCGCGCGGCGTCGCGTGACGCAACTTTACGGGGCGCGCGAGCCAATCTGATCCTACGCGCGGTTTTCTTAAATAACGCACGCATAGTGAAAAAAAAATAAGAAAGCCACAAAAGAAGAACCTTTTTGCGGTTTTTAAATTTGAAACCTAGAGCTCAATTTAACTTATAACAAGTAAATCGCGACATTTGTCTTTAAAATTTGGGTATTGAATTAGGAATACATTTTTTCGGGTGTAGAAACCGAACCCGCGAGCCATGATTTCTAACTGAGTGAGTCGTACGGGCGAAACCATCACCACAACCTAGAAAATAACATAGTGTGCGTCGTCCACGACGACTGCCCTGCCCACGCATGAAATTCCAAATGCAGCTCGCTCCGACACACGGCGGGCCTTCCAGAGCGGCCAGCAGCCTATGAGGGGTCTGAGGCGCGGCGTGGCCTGGCGTGTCGTGGCTCGGCTCTGAGCGCGCCAACGGCCTTGCCGTCGTTGACCGAGTCCGAGCCGCGCGCGCGGCCGCAATCGACGGCTCATATCAAACGTGTCGCACCTGTCGGCCGCGCCTCGCCTCGCCACGCCACGCCCCGAGACCTTTGCCTCGCCGTTAGCAAGCGTCGCCCCTTTGGCCCCCCGTCGGTGCCTCGCCGCCCGGGAGGGGCCGCGCAGGTCACCGCGTTGCGCCCTTGCACCGTATCGCACCGGCCGCCCGGCGAAAGACGGACGGACCAGCAGATAGACGGGCGGACCATCGCATATGTATCGCAGTGGGACGAGGCCGCCGTGGGGCGGGCCCATAGGATAGGAAGGCGTAGCCCACCGTTCCTTTGACAGCTCTACGGCCAAGTCGATTCCATCCGTCCAAACGTGAAAAATAGAATACGATTTTTCGAAGGAGACGGGTGTGCGACGTTGAAAAGGCCAACGTTATTCGTAAAGGCGACGATAGCGAAAGACCCCACAACAAAGCCCTTTTAACGAGAATTCCAAAACGAAAAACCGCCCACGAAAAGTTTGTCGCATACCTCGTATAGGCCGTACCTCACGGCGCCTGTCGCCCACGCCCATGCCCTGTCCAACGCGAGCGACGCCGTGCCCTCCTCGTGCCGAGCCCTGGCTGCGACACGCCGGCGCCAGCCTCCTGACACACGTACGTGCCCCTCCTCCTGCCTCCCCTGCTTCGCTCCGCGACGTCAGCCTCAATGACACGCCGTAAGACAGCGCCTTAAGTTGACTCGCGACAAACCGAGTCGCCGCCGCGGAGCTTCCATGGCGGCTGGTGGCGGCGGGTCCCCCCCCCACCGCATGGCATGGCGCGCGGGGTCGGCTCGGGCAAGTGCGCGCGGCTGCCGTCCGTGACACCAGGTGGGCGCGCCATGGGGGCCCCGGCCCGCCACTGAGGCCCGCCACTGAGGCCTGCCATGAGGCGAGCATGACTCGGCTTTTGGCAGCGCGGCACCGGCCAAGGTGAGGCGTATGAGGCGACGGGGACACCAGGACAATCGGCCGGCGCGATTACAGACACGTTACTTAAGCTGATTACGGGACTGGCCACTTGAACGCTGCAGTTCCTACGAAATATGAAGCATTCGAAAGAAGAGGTGGAGAGGTTCATGCCTCTTGAAATAATTTTCCATGCGCTGCAGTTTACACTACGTCCAAGATTTGCGACATTATTTGAGGAACCTCAAAGAGTTACTCTGCAGTTTTACTGCCTTTACGAGAGTATTAAAGCTTATAAAATACATTATTATTGACACTTGTATACAATTTAATTTATCCAGCTATTTACTGAATGTGGCATTCAATATAGTTGGCAGTAGCAGCAGAAACAGTTTGAGGCAGTAAATAACAGGCAAGTTAATGTGAACTTTGTGTCACCAAAACACGACTCGACAAGGAATGTTGCCGTTTACGATTGATTCTAGTCCCGGCGCGGCGCGTGCGCGTGAGCGTGAACACATGATTTCACTCAATGATTCCTCGTAAGCGTTTCTGCACGTGGCAGCTGTAGTGCAAACCTCGGGGGTCTTGAGAGATCGAGAGTGGTCCGGTTTCTGCACACTCACTTTAGCACACATACACACCCACACGAACGCGCACACACACACACACACACACACACACACACACACACACACACAAGCGCGGGCGGGCGCGTACCCGGCTGAGCGCTTCTCACATTCACCTGATAATTATTCACTCGTATAAATATCGCACCGTCCACAACTACAGACTCGCATACCGCCACGTACTGGGGCACGCACGCACACACCCAGACGTAAACACACGCACACA